GGATTTCCCTGTATTTCTCGCATTATGTTTGTATCACATTCAACAAACAACTTAAAAAATGTTGTGTATAAAGTTGATAATCTTAAAACGAATTAACACGAGTTGGTTAATATTTCAATCAGTTATAAAAGAGACGTACTTTAGTTTGGTATCGCATTAGATTTCATGGTGATAACATCTTGTTAATAATATTTCGTGGACGATAGTAATTATAGGTGGCGGTGATGAAGCGAAAATATGAAAGGGTGTATAGAGCGAAGTGGGAGCAAAATCTTTTACTTTCATCGTGGATCTCCAAAGCTAAAGATGATCCAGACTGTGTAACTGCAAATCGGCACCCCGGCTGTCCGCTTTAAAGGCTAAAGCGCCCTCCACATTCGCGCCGTGAACACTTGTGAAAGCCGCGAACCGCGAATGTGGACGGCTTTCGCGCCCGTTCACGGGCTTCGCGCCCTTTCACGCCTTGTTGCCCGTTCAGTGTCGGTATTTTACGCCCGTTTCAAAGGGTTTACGAGGTGCGAACCTCCCGCGAACGCAAGCGCATCCACACTCGCGCGTGAAATCAGTAATGCACGAGACTCGGTGCCATGAGGTTGTGCTTATTTGTATTTTTTTATAGGATAGGGTGACAAATGAGCACACAGTCCACCTGATGGCAAGTGGCTGCTGTGGCCCATAGACATCTACATCTATCCTCGTTTGCGAATCAAAATGCAGATGCGTTGTCACCCGTGAGGACTAAGATGGAATGCCTCATTTCCAGTAAAAAGGATCTCCGGTTCTCTACACTCACCATACAAAACAGTAGTGTTAAGCTGCTATTTTACGCTGGTATTCTGTGTCAGCGTCATCCTTCCCCGGTCGAGCTGACCCATTCGTGCTACAACTATATTACTAATATAGGTGCAGCATGGCTCTACCACGTATGACTTGTTTACGTAGGACGGTGCGTCAAAATGAGCGTCAGTTAGACGAACAAGCAAGAACTCATGTTGATCGAGTGCTATCATGCCGAACCCATTATATGGGATGCTAAACACAATGAGTATAAAAATAAAATGAAAGTACATGACGCATGGATTCCAATAAAGGAAATAATGAGTATTGAAGTAACTGATTTAAAAAAAAAGTGAATTCACGCCGTGAATCACACAGGAGTCTGGAGCCCGCCTATCCTCTTTTGCGAATCAAAATGCAGATGCGTTGTCACCCGTGAGGACTAAGATGGAATGCCTCTTTTCTAGTAAATAGGGTCTCCGGTTCTCTACACTCACCATACGAAACACAACAGTGTTAAGCTGCTATTTTACGCTGGTATTCTGTGAGAGCGTGGTCCTTCCCCGGTCGAGCCGACCCATTCGTGCTACAACTATGCTACTAATATAACTGCAGCATGGCTCTACCACGTACAAAAGATTTATAAATAAACATTTACACAAGGCATTGGTGAGCATGGCGATTGCATTGCATTCAAACCAACGAATTATATGTTTAATTTTAAATTAAAAAATATAGCATGTATATGTGTATTTTTACTTTTTTTAGTAATTTTACTTTTTTACTTTTTTTAGTAAACTTTTCACTCAAGATTTTGACAGTTCAATAAACAAATTAGTCAGACCTATGGTCAAGCCAGAGTATAATAGGTCAGGCCAAAGACAATTTTTTTTTAAATGATGGTAAATATAACTTAGAGTCATTACTAAGTTCTTATCTAAATATAAATATTAATATAAAAAAAATATAATATAATATTATTAGTGAAAAAAAAAAAAACACATGTTTATAACCTATAACAACAAAGTTATTTTTGCTTTGTCATCCAACGAGACCCGTGTCTGCGCAATAACAGCGACATCTATTTTGAATCATCAAAACCACTTTCCACGCTCAAAGACATCGATCGATTTTTCGATTAGTTATTGAGTTAGCGGAGATATGTTTTAATTAGTACTGTAGAGTTTTCGTAGAGGGCGTTAACTGTACGGACGCTGCAGAACGGTTGTGTTGAGTTGTTGATAGTTGATACCTGTGGTTGATACAGTTACATTCCAGCTCTTCGGTTCTATAATATAAGGCACCAAAATGTTAGAAATAGAGAAACTACTAAAGGAATTTAGAGTTGACACAAAAAAAGACTAAGTGACTTCTTGTGCAGCTAAACAGTGTTCTAATAATTCAAGAAATAAAAATAAGATACACGGGATTACTTACCACTCATAATTATAGCTAAAAATTTTATTTTGTTGTAAATTATAATGATGTTTATTGTTCGCCATGTTTGTGAGAGCGAGATAGATAATACAAACATACGTGAGAGACACGATACGCGATTAACTAACGCGATTTCGCTCGCACAACTATGACGTTTCCTATTTCTGTCCTTATCTATCGGTAAATTTAATTTTGTGATTATGAAGAGAACAGATGTGTGTGAACATTCTGTTTTCTTCACACTAAGCCGTGTGTCGACGACTATCTCTCTTTCTGCACATGTTGTACTCTCGAAGTGGGCGGTGTTTTGTAAAAGTAAGCTCTATTACAATGCTTATAGATATGAAATATGCATGTCAATATATGTAGCCAGATTTTTGAATTTTGTTGACATTATTTTTTTAGTCTCAAATAGTTCAAGTTAACGTAATTAGTAGTTTTCTAAATTGAGAGATTAACTAAAATATAATTATTCATAGTATTAAGTTGTAAGTGTTAATAGTGTATAGTATAAACAGAAATAGTGGTACTTGGGTATTTAAGTGGTCAAATAGTGTAAATATTAACTATGTTTACGTCGGCCTGTGAAAACAGTAGAGTGATATGGCACCATTTTGAATAAGACAATAAAACTTTTAAGCAACGTGTAATGAATGTAAAGATGTATTAAGTTATAAGTCGTCCACCGCCAATTCAAAAATCATTCATCATCATTCAATCGCCATTTTAAAAATAATTATATCCACACAAGTCAGATAGAGATAACAAAATAAGAAGTGTATTACTCAACTCGTACGGATTTTGGCTGACGTTATTCATGCACGTAAAAATTACCACTAAGGCGCTTATGTGTCAAATACTATACGGTCGTTTTTTGTATGTAATGTTTGCATTAATAAGTTGTCATTTTACGTTGATGCGGCACTTGTCAAATTGTTTATATTCATTAGCGCCTGTTTACGAAAACATACTGAGTTATGTTTAGGATTTCTTTGCGTAGTGATTATTGTGACTTTACTTTCTTCCTTTTAATCCATCGATCGCTAAAGTTTAGAGTTATGATACTTTGCGAGAAAATTCTGTATACATAGACATTGCTTTTTTTGTGTAAATGGACATTTTTGTAAATAATGAATTGACGCAGTGGCATTTTTGTTAAGGTATGAAGGAGAATCGATTTTATATACAATCTTATTACGGTACACAATAAATAATCTAAGCACTTATATTATTCAGCATTGTTGCCACATAACATTTCACGGATCAGTCAGTAATAAACGCCCGCGACGCAACTTAATGTATTGGGAACATTCTTTGTTTTATATTTTTAGAGTCGATGATACAAATGAGCCAAATGAAACATATCAGTGTTTCGGAACATTTCAGTGATCAAGATGCAAATGTTCCAATCCCAAAAATGATACGCTTTGCTCACCTCCACAGTGTACCGCACAAGGTAGATATAAGTTGGATGAATAACTAATTTTATTTCTAGAATATTGTATTGATGTCCAACGTCCACGACAGCAAAATATGATAGTAGGTACGAACGGGACATATTATGCAAAAATACCGATACGAGTACAAAAATAAACATAAATAAAATTATTTATCTTTGTACTGACTAATTTAGTTACCATTAAACAAATACAGCAATTGTTAATGGAATATTTTCCTACAAATTATTGTGTGTATTTTATTTAATTCTGACCTAGAGATTTAGAGTGAATTGACGGTTCTCATACCTAGCCTAATTTGTAGCATTTTGACTCCCTTATCATGCTATGCCAGGAAGTTGTCGAGTTCCCACTAACCCTGTATAATATGGTTTTTAGCGGGAGAGTAAATTAATTAGATTTTTGTGTTTGATTAATAAACATCGTTTCATAAATTCGTACCCATGTTTTATTGAGCTAAAACATACCTTATAATTATCGCTTACCTAATATTTACAAATACTTACATAATCAAATTAATAACTTAAGTATAATAACGCATAGGCGTCAATTTTACGATTGGCATAATGGGCATTGAGCGATACGCGCGCTCTATACCTTGCTTATTTGTACTCTAAGTTCTGAATATTTATCTATTGTTCTAAGGGGGCCATTAATTAAATTACTTTATTATATACTCTTTGTAGGGGTGCATAAATTTGCAAAGTAATAAATCCAAATTGATTTTTCGAGCTTTGAAGGGTTGATACAATGGTAAATAAAGTTGGCAGTATTTAGGCATTTTTCACTACAGACTTTGACAGGATTTGGGAGGTTTTTAACCAAAGTGAGGCAGGATCTGTATTTTAAAGATGGTCACCCTGCCCTTGAGTTTAGTCTTTGACAGAGTTTTGGCGGGAAATTGACCGGCGGCGGTTTGCTGCTCCTGTATTATTGTTTAAATAATGGTTTGAAGTGGACTTTGATATGTAAAAGTGTTGCACGCATGTGAACTATTAGTGGAAACAGTGAAACAAGTGCTCTGATGGTGATGGATTCTCAAGATAAGCTGTTTGTTTGCATAGACACCTTTAGATACTATCGCCAACTATCAGCTGTCTGCTGGATCAAGTTGCCGCCAAAATCTCCCACGAACTGCACAATGTGACGCATCAACATATTGTGAAGCAGTATACTATGAAGGAGTGGGGAAATTACAATAAACCGAATAAAAATACTTAAGACTTGGCCTAAAGGTCTAGATACCAGGCCATAAACTCCAAAAAAAAAAATAGTCTTTGACAGTTCTAAAATTCGATTGCAAAAATGACGTGGAGAAATAGGTTATAAGACGTTTTTTTTTTAGGGGTGTGAGGTGTACAAGTGTCGTTCTGTTTTAGGCTATTTCTTTCAGTATATACACTCTTATCTATGGCTATTTCGTACTTCTGAGAGCTGTTGATTTACTTTTTTGTTTACTATTTCTGGTGGTGTTGGTTTTAGTAGTTATAAATCCGTAAGTATTTAGTAATTGTGTTGTTGTATATATATGTAAGTAGTTAAAATAAAATGGAGGAAGATCCTCCCGATCCCGACGGGGTTACATGTGACTCCCATGCGGGTACCAAAAAGAAAAATATGCCTATCGAGATCGATCAGTCGAATCGTAAAAGATCGCAAGCAACCAATAACTCAGTTCATCCACAGAAAAGATTAATTACAGATCCATCTCAACCTGTACCATCTATTCAGACCTCTTATACTCATCCTGACTACATTGAAAAAAAACATAAATACTCTAATAACGACAGTGCGCCCTTTATTGTACATGTAAGTAAGATAGTAGATGATTTATCATCTGGAGTAGTTTTAAAACCGATAAAGTTTGGTCATTTTCTCTACCATAATAATATTAAAAATGTTGTTAGCGACGGTGTTAAGCGAGTAGGGCGCAATAGAATCTCAGTCGAATTTAAAAGTGCAGCAGATGCAAATTGCTTTATTGAGAACCCAGCCCTTGCAGGTGCTAAATATGATGCTGTAATCCCTTCTTATAGTATCACTCGCATGGGAATAGTGAGGCAGGTCCCTGTAGAATGGACATTAGAGGAACTCATTTCATCAATCGAGGTCCCAGCTGGTTTTGGCTCAATCATTAAACCTCGCCGATTTAATAGAAAATCACTTAATGAAAACCAAAGCACTGTGTGGATTCCCTCTCAAACAGTCCTTTTAACTTTTTCCGGCCAGAAACTCCCTTCTAATATTTATTGTTTTTACAACTCAATGCCCGTTGAGCCCTACATTTTACCACTTATTCAATGTCACAAATGTTGCCGTTTTGGACATGTTACCTCACAGTGTAGATCATCTTCCCGTTGTTTTGTGTGTGCTCAAAATCATGAGGGTATATCATGCACAAGACAGTCTCCCACTTGCCTTTTTTGTTCAGGATCTCACACAGCTAAAGATCCCTCCTGCCCTGAACACTCTAGGCAGCGATCTATCAAACTCACAATGTCACAGGAAAATATTTCCTATCTAGAAGCATCTGCTCGTTTCCCTCAAGTCCGTAGATTTTATGCAGATACTGCTAGAACCCTTCCTTCATATGAGCATCAGACTTCCTGTCCTATTTCAAACCCTCCTTTACCTTCAGTTGTCCCCTCACAATCTCATTCTTACAGGAAGACTACATTCACTCCAAGACTTTCGCCAAATCCAGCATCTAGTCATGGATATGATAAATCTGCCCATGAGGCAATAATAGATACCCCTCCTTCTTCATCTACTAATGGTTGTGCTATAATAGGGCGAAGTATTTCCCCTAATGATAATCTCTGCGAATTGATGGTCTCCATGCTTATAAGTATGCTTTCCCGTTTCAGCGACATGGATCTCCCACTCGCCCTCCGCCAAAAACTTACTGAGCTCATTTCCTTAACAAATAACCTTCCCTCCAATACTTCAGTGGAACTGCCGGAGCATTAAAAATAAGAAAACCGAACTAACATATCTTATTAATAAATACCATCCCCTTATCCTAGCCATCCAGGAGACATGGCTAAAGCCTGGCTCCCATTTTAGGGTCTCAGGCTATTCATGTCTCAGGGATGATAGAAGTGATGGTCATGCTGGCTCTTTCATTCTTATCTCAAAATCAATTACTTATACATTAATTTCCCTTCCTTCTCATAGTCCTTCAATTAATGCTGTTACAGTTAGAGCTCATAACATTTCTTTCCTTTCTATTTACATTCCCGAACCTAATCTAAATATCTTATCGGAACTTACGAGGATTATATCCTCCATCCCTCCTCCTATGGTAATTCTTGGTGATTTTAATATGCACCATACTTTATGGGGTTCCCATTTTTGTGATCCCTGGTCTTCTACATTCTTAGACATCATTGATGATTTAGATCTCTGCCTCCTTAACGATGGTTCACCTACACGTAGAGTTTCCCCCCTCCAAAATCCTAAAAGTGCAGTAGATCTGTCACTCTGTTCTCCTGCTCTGTCATCCCTTCTTTCTTGGAGAATATTACCCATTTCCCATGGCAGTGATCACTTTCCTATTGTTATCAATCCTCCTAACTCCTATACAGTCAATGTTCCATTCAAACCTAGGTTAAAATATAACACATCCAAAGCAAACTGGCATCTGTATTCCACAGTTCTAGACGAAGAACTTTCATCCCTCCCTACGGTTCAGAAAGAGAATGTTCTTCAGGTGTATTCTACTTTAAAAAATGCTATTTTATCTGCTGCAAATAAGACAATTCCCATTAAAAAACCTTATAAAAATAATGCTCCTTCACCACCTTGGTGGGATCAAGATTGTTCTGTAGCATGCAAGAAGAGAAAGGAAGCTGAACTAAGATATTCCCGCTCAATGAATTTTGATAACTATATTTTTTATAAAAAAACTGCTGCTGAAACATTAAAATTACTGTCTGAAAAGAAAAAGGCTGGATGGCTTAAATTCTGTGAGTCACTGTCGCCTAGGACTCATCCATCACTGGTCTGGAAAAATATAAAAAAATTCCGATGTTCAGTTTCGGCCCCTGAAAACACAAATTCTAATGATCAGTCTTATTGGCTAGAAAATTTTGCTAGTAAACTTGCTCCTCCTTCAGTACCATATTACAATGAATGTATAGTATTCCAGTCACAGTCCCTGCACTATCAACACAGTTTTGACTCTCCTTTCTCTTATGAGTTATGTTATGAGTTATATTCTGTTCTTAATGTCCTTAAAGACTCTTCACCAGGAATCGATGGAATCCCTTATTCTTTTATTACTAATAGCAGTGAATCTACTAAAGCCCATCTTCTTTCTATTTTGAATTATATTTACATGTCCGGTATTCCTCCTGAAGAGTGGAAATCCCAAGTTATCTTACCTATTCACAAACCAGGTAAGCCCTACACTGATCCCGCAAGCTAACGCCCTATTGCTCTTTCTTGCACCATGGCCAAAATCCTTTTTTTTTTTTTTTTTTTTTTTTTTATAGGATAAGGGTGACAAACGAGCACACAGTCTACCTGATGGTAAGTGGTTGCTGCGGCCCATAGACATCTACATTTATCCTCTGTTACAAATCAAAATGTAGATGCGTTGTCACCCGTGAGGACTAAGATGGAATGCCTCATTTCCAGTAAAAAGGGCCTCCGGCCACCTGCACTCACCAAGCGAAACGCAGAGGTAAACCTCTACTTCACGCTGGTTTTCTGTGAGGTTGTGGTACTACCCCGGTTCGAGCCGGCCCATCCGTGCGACAGCAAAAGCTGCCGCGTGGCTCTACCACTGTTAAACCTTGAACACCTAATAAAAAATTGTTTAGAATGGTTTCTTGAAAGCAAAAATCTTTTAGCAAAAAGCCAATTTGGATTCCGAAAGGGCTTAAGCACCATGGATAGCATTAGTACTCTAGTTACTGATATTCGTATAGCTTACTCTAAACATGAATACCTTGTTGGAGTCTTCCTAGATATCTCGTCTGCATATGACAATGTACTTCTTCCTGTGCTCAGGCAAAAAATGCTTAATCTGAGTATTCCAGTGAGGATAGTAAATTTTGTCTCTAACTTTCTCTCTTCTAGATCCATTTATATTGATAGTCAAAATTCTCTACTCCCGCCAAGAATTGTATGGAAGGGTCTCCCACACGGCTCAGTACTTAGTCCTTTACTCTATTCTATCTATACTTATGATTTAGAACTTTCTGTTAACTCCTTCTGTAACATCCTCCAATATGCAGACGATATAGCTATATATATTTCCCTAGATAACCTCCTTGCAGCATGTTCTCGCTTGAATATATCAATGTCTTATTTACAGGATTGGTTAACTGATCATGGTTTGTCTTTGTCTGTTCCCAAAAGCAGTGTTGTAATCTTCTCTCGCCATAGGCAAGTCCCTGAAATCAACATTCTCTATAATAATGAACCTATCCCAATTAGGGAGAATGTAAAATTTTTAGGAGTTATTCTTGACTCCAAACTAGCCTTTTCTCATCACATCAACTATGTCTCAAAAAAATGTGAAAAAAATATAAACATTCTTCGCGCTTTATCGGGTGTCTGGTGGGGCTCCCACCCATTCTCCCAAAAAATACTGTACAACGCCCTTATCCGTAGTCATTTATATTATGGATGTTTTGTTTTGGAACCATGCAATAAGTCTTCCCTAAAGATCCTAGACAGGATTCAATCCAAAAGCCTTCGTATAATCATCGGGGCAATGAAATCTTCCCCAATAAATGCTCTCCAAGTTGAATGTGTGGACCCTCCCCTTTATCTAAGAAGGCAATATCTTTCGGACCGATTCTTTTTTAAAATCTACCAACTCTCTTCCCACCCTCTCATTTCTAAATTACACCTCCTTTTGGAATATATTTCATCAAAACATTACTGGACTCATAAAGAATCTCCCTGCTTATCCAACAGTTTGGTAACATTACTCCACCTACCATACCCAGTATCACAATTCAAGTCCTGCCCCATATTTGATATCCCATATGATGCAATCATTTTCCAACCAAATATCCACCTCGACCTTGGTATTGAGAAAGATTGCCCTATAGCAAATAGTAAAGTAAGTAGAGTCATAGATAATTTATGGAAAGGCTGGCTTATTATATACACTGATGCCTCCAAAAAGTCAGATGAAAGTTGTACTGGAGCAGCAGTTTGGATTCCCAGATTCAAAATAATTCTTAATTTTAAATGCCCTTCTATTTCTTCCACTTTTACTGGCGAGGCCACGGCAATTCATGAAGCTTTAATATATATAGAAGCACACAACTTAAATAAGTCAGTTATTCTTACCGACTCCAAAAGTTGTTTGTTAGCAATTTTGTCAAACCAATTCCAAAGTAAATATAAGTTACCCTTGATCCTCAAAATTAAACACACATTGTATAGATGTCATCTCAAGGGCATACAGGTTTCCTTAGCTTGGATTCCAGGTCATAGTGGCATCAAGGGCAATGAAACAGCTGATCTGATGGCTAAAAATGCCAGTCGAAATGGTTTGCCATGTAATTTAACTTACTCCTCAGACATAGTGTTACTTGCAAAGAAGAAGTTAAATAATAATTGGAATACATTATGGAAAGCCACTCAAAATATAAAAGGTAAACACTATGCTGCTATACAATGTGCCATCCTTCCAAAACCATGGTTTTTCAAATTCAATAAAGCTAATAAACATTCTACATCAACTATTTGTAGACTTAGAATTGGCCACGCTTGTACACCAGTACATTTGGCCAAACTGAGGATTAGGGATAGTTCCCTCTGCGAATGTGGGTTGGATGAGGGAACCTCCGACCATATTTTTTTTAACTGTCCTAAATTATCTTGTTCACTCTATGATTATCTCCCTCCTGACATCCCTCGTCCTATAAATTTTGATTCACTTTTAACCTACACAAACACTCCTTATGTATATATTCTGTGTGATTTTATTAACACTAATGGTATGTTTAATGTTTGTCAATACTAACATACTAATGTAGTTATAGCAACCGTATTTGTCATTTGTTCTAGGTAATTCAACAGTACAACCATTAGTACTACAAGATAAAAGGGGAAAAAATTGGTTTAAAGGAAAAAAGATACTTGTACTATCACAATCTTCTCTTGTATATGGGCATAGTATTTGTAACTACTGAGCTTCTACTCAATAAACGCTTTCACGCTGACATTGGCGAATGATCAAAACCGCCATAAAAAAGAAAGAAGAATAGGTTATAAGCACAGAGTACATTATATATAGGGAAGTTATAAGTTTGTTGTATTTCCTATTTATATTTTAATTGGGCTTAATTAATAGGTCGTATTTTATTTGAGTCGCTTTACAGATAAATCCACAGAAATGATTGAAATAACTGACACTCAAAGTCTTTTCAGTTGAAACAGTCACATAAAAACATTGTTTTGTTTAGCTTAAAAGTAAACTATTTAGAAATTCTAAAAGTGTAAAACCCTTTTTTAGATATGTTTTCACTTTATGGCGATTTACAACATTATGAACTAAGTTTAAATTTTATAGACTTTTAATTAATGAATCTTATATATTTTGTTCAAATATATGTTAATGTCGTGCTATTATTAAATAAAGGTCAGACAGCATTTGTAGAGACATTCCAATCAATTCTTGTTGAAGGAGTTGCCAATCATTGGCCAATAAACTAAGTATGTTACATAATTTAACAAGTATGTACTTAATGTAAGAGCTCCAAAAATTACAATAATTTTGTTTTACTTTTCAGAAATTGGTGTAGGCTTGGCAGGGTTTGGTATGACCTTTCTGTTCCTTGGAGTGCTCTTACTCTTTGATAAAGGATTATTAGCTATTGGAAATGTAAGTAAAAAAAGTATAACAGTTTAAAGATTCAAATCAGTGAATATGATTGCTGTTTATAAACAAACTATCTACAGAGTAATGTGCATGCACAAGTGAGTAGTGTATTCTAACTACTGATTTTTAATATCTGAAATCTGAAACTAGCGCTGAGATTATTAATGTGGTAAATTATATTATTATATAAAATCTGGTAGTAATTGGTTAGTTTCATATGGCAATCAAATGTAATCTATTATCAACAAGCAAATCTGAATAGGTGTGCCACAAGGTAGATTTCTAGGTCCAGTCCTATATCTATTCTTTCACTGACATTTCAACACTTGCGAAGATAGCATACAGCTTGATATACAGATTGAAGATCCTTCTAGCATCTTAATCTAATCATCATAAAGAAAGGAAATAAATGATGCTCACTCCCTCCCTTGCAATCAGAAGGAAAACATAGGGTAAATAATATAAGGGTAGAATTGAGCAATGCAAAGAAATATATATATCAATGAGTTTATAAAATAACTTAAACTACTCCCGATTGTCTCATGGATGTTGGAAGCATCACCATTTTCCTCAGCGTCTTCCTGATAACGATACAATAAAAATATCATAAAACTGTGCTTGCCAACCCACTTGCCAAGTGCAGCAACTATTACAGGTACCTTCCCTATGACACAATTTATGGGTAGTTTTATGTTCAGCAGTGGACTGTTGATTGGAGAGACTTTCAGGCTCAGAATGGCTAGAACCCAGAGCCGTAAAGCAAGTTATAAAAAAAAATTGATTGCAGTGGAATTTTTTTTTATCGAATGAGGGTGATAATCATGCACACAGTCTGCCTGATGGTAAGTGGATGCTGTGGCTTATGGACATTTACGTTCAACCTCAATTAAGAATCAAAATACAGATGCATTGACATCCCTGAGGATTAAGACGAAATGATAAAAGACATGATATAAGACAGATTTCCGATTTTTTTTATAGGATAGGGTGACAAACGAGCACACAGTCCATCTGATGGTAAGTGTTTGCTGTGGCCCATAGACATCTACATCTATCCTCGTTTGTGAATCAAAATGTAGATGCGTTGTCGTAACAAAAATATTCCAGGGACCTACAAAATACTCATTTGGTTTTTTTATCCTTCTCCATTTCACAACAAGTCCATTTCTGAACATAGGCCACCCTCAAAGAATGCCATAAAGCACGGCCCTGAATCACCTACATCCATCCACATACTGCATCTTTTACCAGGTGGTTACTCCATCTAATGACCCTACACTTCACTATCTGGTACTAGGCTACCACTCAAGAACCTTCCTTCCCCATTGGTTGTCAGTTCTAGAGTTATGAATTTTACATTGCAATTAATTGTACAATTTATTTCCATTTAAATATTTGTATGCCAATGAGGGCTAATAATTTTCTGCTCACCAGATGTCGCTAGTTGACACAAGTTTTTTGTTACACAATGTAATTTAATTGAGTAGTTGTTTTTTAATAATATTTTATCAGTTTCTAGAGTATTATTATTATTTAACGGTGGTAGAGCCTTGCAGCAGCTTTTGCTGTTGCACGTATGTGCCGGCTCGAGCCGGGTTAGTACCACGACCTCACAGAATACCGGCGTGAAGTGGAAGCTCTGCTTCCGCGTTTCGTCTGGTGAGTGCAGGTGACCGGATGCCCAATTCCCCCCCCCCCCCCCCATCAACATGGTAGCGGAATTACGTCATAAACTACCCCAGGAGGGTACCAGTACCCCTGGAGAATCCCTCGCTGAGCATCCACGACCATGCTATTCCACTCCTGAGCGTGGGTGCTCAGGCTGCCCCGCGTATTCTGGGGGGGGGGCAAAATTCCGCTCAACACAATAACTGCTTGGGGCAAACTGAGCAACAAGACCAAGGCGACCCCTGCCACGCTATCCGTGAATTTCTGCAACATCAGGGGACTTCACTCGAACCTAAACGCCGTCCACTACCATCTTGAGACGGCGAAACCGGCCTTGCTCTTTCTGACCGAGACGCAGGTGTCCTCTCCGGCTGATACTTCGTATCTCTCCTACCCGGGGTACAAATTGGAGCACTCCTTTCTGCCTCGGGCTGGAGTTTGCGTGTATGTCAGAGAGGACATCTGTTCTCGACGCCTCGTCAGTCTTGAAGGTTCGGACCTGTCCATCCTTTGGCTACGCGTAGACAGCGACGACCATCCGCGCGTCTACGTGTGCCTCTATAGGTCCCATAGCGGTAATGCCGAAACAGACCGACTCATCGACCACGTCCAAATGGCTACAGATTCCTTGCTACAACAGGTCCCATCTGCAGAGATCGTGATCCTTGGCGATTTTAACGCCCACCACGCCGAATGGCTCGGTTCACGTTTAACCGATCATGCGGGGAGATCTGTTTATGACTTTGCCTTGGCATATGGTCTGACACAACTGGTTACATCGCCTACGCGGATTCCAGATGTTGAGGATCATACACCTTCCCTGTTGGACCTTCTGCTGACCTCTCATCCGGACGGATATCAGGTTTCCGTCGATGCCCCTCTTGGCTCTTCGGACCATTGTCTGATCCGGAGTGTGGTGCCACTCACGCTCCCCTCGCGGTTGCGTTCTGCAGGTTGCCGCCGTGTTTGGCATTACAGGTCGGCGGATTGGGACGGAATGCGGTCTTTCTTTGCTTCCTACCCATGGGGGCGGGTTTGCTTCTCACCGGATGATCCCAGCGCTGTTGCTGACTCTGTCACTGATGTAGTGCTACAGGGAATGGAACTATTTATTCCATCATCTGTGGTACCCATCGGAGGCAGATCTCAGCCTTGGTTTGGTCGCTCCTGTAAGACTGCATTACGCAGTAAGCAGGAGTGTTATCAAGCCTGGGCTGCGGCTTCGGTGACTCGGGATGTAAACACCAGCACACTCAAAAAGAAGTATAACTTCGCCTCCAGGTCCTTCAAAAGAGTTATTGCCAAGGCAAAGTCAGAGCACATAGGCAGAATTGGCGAGAAACTAGTTCGCCTTCCTTCGGGAACCCGTGCATTCTGGTCTCTCGCCAAGGCTGTCCAAGGGAATTTCTGTAAGCCATCACTACCATCTCTGCACAGGGAGGACGACTCACTGGCCCACGACGCAAAAGAGAAGGCCGACATTTTAGGCTCCCTCTTTGCGTCCAACTCGACTGTTGATGACGGGGGGAACACACCGCCGACCATCCCGCGGTGTGAGTGCTCCATGCCGGATGTGCGATTCTCACAGCGCTCGGTTCGCAGAGCACTCCTCTCCCTTGACATCCACAAGTCGAGTGGGCCTGACGGAATCCCCTCAATTGTGCTGAGGACGTGTGCTCCGGAGTTGGCACCGGTTCTAACGCGTCTTTTCCGGTACTCCTACTCCCTAGGCGTAGTCCCGAAATCATGGAAGACAGCTTTTGTCCACCCGATCCCTATAAAAGGCGACCGCTCAGATCCGTCCAACTACAGGCCTATCGCCATCACCCCCTTGTTCTCCAAAATAATGGAATCCGTTGTAAACTGCCACCTCATGCGGTACCTTGAGGATCACCAGCTGATTAGTGACCGCCAGTACGGTTTTCGTCGGGGTCGATCAGCTGGTGATCTTCTGGTCTACTTAACTCATAGATGGGCGTTGGCAGTAGAGTCCAAGGGGGAGGCATTGGCCGTTAGTTTGGACATTGCGAAGGCCTTCGATCGGGTTTGGCACAAAGCGCTTCTTTCGAAGCTCCCTTCCTATGGGCTTCCCGAGAAATTATGCAATTGGATCACCAGCTTTCTTGCAGATCGGAGCATCAAGGTCGTTGTAGACGGTGCATGCGCCGACTACAAGCCTATTAACGCTGGTGTTCCACAAGGCTGCGTGCTATCACCAACGCTGTTTCTTCTGCATATCAATGATATGTGGCAAGCTGGTAGCATTCATTGCTATGCAGATGACAGCACTGGTGATGCTCTATACACCGGCCGTGCCAATATTTCTCGGGAAAACTTCACCGAGTACCGGAGCAAACTTGTGTCTGAAGTCGAGTCTTTGCTGGACAAAGTCTCGGATTGGGGGCGACTAAATCTAGTCCAGTTTAATCCTCAGAAGACACAAGTTTGCGCGTTTACCGCTAAAAAGAACCCCTTTGTCGTATCTCCTCAGTTTCAAGGTACTCCCCTTGTTGCCTCAGCCAGTATCGGAATCCTCGGCGTCGACATATCGAGTAGCGTGCAGTTTCGTGGTCACTTGGAAGAGAAGGCCAAATTGGCCTCTAAAAAGCTTGGCGTGCTCAGCAGAGCGGGACAGTATTTCATGCCGGCTCAACGCCTGCAACTTTACAAGGCGCAGGTTCGGCCTCACATGGAATACTGTTCCCATCTCTGGGCTGGGGCTCCCCAGTGCCAGCTTCTTCCACTTGACCGCATCCAGCGCAGAGCGGTTCGAATCGTCGACGACCGAGTCCTTTCCGATCGGCTCGACTCATTGGCACTGCGAAGAGATGTTGCATCTCTTAGCATTTTCTTTCGCATTTACCATGGGGAGTGCTCTGAGGAATTGTTCGGATTAATCCCAGCCGCCAAATTTCACGAACGCACATCGCGGCAGAACTCCCGATACCATCCACACCATCTGGATGATTGGCGGTCCACCACTGTGCGATTTAGAAGATGTTTTCTTCCTCGCACAACTTCCTTGTGGAATAGTTTACCACCAGCGATTTTTCCGGACCGATACGACTTAGGGACCTTCAAGAAAAGAGCCTACTCCTTTTTAAAAGGCCGGCAACGCATCTGCAATTCCCCTGGTGTTGCGGTTGTTCATGGGCGGCGGTAGTCACTTACCATCAGGTGAGCCGCATGCTCGTTTGCCCCCTCTCCTATAAAAAAAAAAAAATATTATATTAATACACAAAACAATCTGTCAGTGGTTTGCTCTTTAATTTTTTTGCACATTTTTAACTTTTTTTAAATTTTTGTAGTTTTATGAATATCTGTGGTTTGGTTTAATTATTTATAATGTTATTAATATAAAATATAGCTAATAGATCAGAAAGAAACAATAAGTTTTACATTTTTCAAACAATCTGCAATGGAATCTGTCAAATATCTCCCTCACTTTGTTGTGGCGCTGCCCTGGTGGCAGGTAAAGTCGTGGATGCCCTCATTAATGGATCATATTGGAAACAATAAGCAATTGTTAACATCTTTTAATGTATTACTTGTGATCAACAAATAAACATATTATTATTATTTTTCAACCACTACCAAGGTTGTGTATTAATTCTAACAACAAGAATCATCATGGAATGAATTTCCTTAAGACATTAGCAATGACATTTATTAAATTAATAATATGTCAACTAATTTAAAACTACTGCGACATGGAGAGACAGCTCTGTGTCAAAGTGGCTTAGTATCAAGTTGCGACGCCAATGAGCGCATCCACGACTTTTTCTGCCACCAGGGCGGCACCACTAGAAAGTGAGGTATAATATTTGACAGATTTCATAGCGGGGAAGTTAATTTGTTTGGAAAATGTAAAGGTTATTGTTTCTTTCTGTACTATTAGTTATATTTTATATTAATAATATTAAAAATAAATGAATCAAACCACAGATATTCATAAAAGAAGAAAAATTAAAAAAATGTTAAAAATGTGCAAAAAATTAAAGACCAATTTCTCAATTAAATGACATTGTGTTACAAAAAACTTTACCTCAGTGTCAACTAGCGACATCTGGTGAGCAGAAAATTACTAGCCCTGATTGCCGCAAGTTCGAATCCTGCACGGAAGACTTGTGTAATTTATGTTTGTTAACTGCCTCTATGATACACGAGATACAGAAGTGTGAGGGTAATGTTTTCTATAAAATAAAATGTATAAAAAATAAGCATGTGTGCTTCACACATGGTAGAAGTGAAAACTTCAGGAAAAATAACCTCTATACGTGCTAGAGTCATGCTGCAGCTATATATTAATTGTATAGTTGTAGCACGAATGGATCGGCTCGACCGGGGAAGGACGCCACTCACAGAATACCAGTGTAAAATAGCAGCTTAATGCTGCCGTGTTTCATATGGTGAATGTAGAGAACCGGAGAGCCTTTTTACTGGAAAAGATTTTAGTCCTCACGGCTGACAACACATCTGCATTTTAATCCACAGGCCACAGCAACCACTTACCATCAGGTGGACTGTGTGCTTGTTGTAATGCTATTTTTTTTATAGAATAAGGGTGACACCCTTATTCTATAAAAAAAATAGCATCGAGAGAACGAGACAAATGCAGGTTATCAGGAGTAGCATTATTAGTATAGTTTATTCATTATAATATTATTTACCAAGTTTAAAAATTATTTTACATTTTGTTCTACGTTATTATTATATTACATACTAGCTGTTCCCCGCGACTTCGCCCGCGCGTTATTTTGAGTTTTAATTTTTTTGCGCGGAACCCTAATTCCTTTTCTATAATAAAAGTAGCCTAAGTTACTCCTTGTGACATCAGCTATCTGCCAGTGAAAATCCTATCAAAATCGCTCAAAGACGTTTCGGAGATTAGCCGGAACAAACAGGCAGACAGACACAGACACAAACTTTAAAAATTGTATTTTTGTTATTAGTACCGTATATACTTTCATATGCATTTAGTAAAAAGCTGTAATTTTGATATTACAAATAGACACTTCAATTTTATTTATTTGTATAGATTATATAGACTCCCAAGCCAAGCAATTTTATCATCGTTAGTAATTAAATATTTTCTAATCAACAAATTTCGTTTTTAATCAACACATGCATAATCTCTATACATAATAGGGAACACTGTATTACTGTATTCTATCCCATTTTCTTGCATGCTAAATCCTATAGGTATATACATATATGTTTGTCTCTTTTTAGTGTCACATTTTAGTTTCATCGAAAAAAAATTTTAATAAGAAAAAGAAAGAAAGAAAAACATAGTAATTAAATACTGTTTATTTTTTTCAGATCCTGTTCATAAGTGGTCTCGCATGTGTGATAGGCATCCAGAGGACTTTCTTCTTTTTCTTTCAGCGGCATAAAATCAAAGCATCTGTGGTGTTCTTTGGTGGCATCACAATTGTTCTCCTCGGATGGCCTATGGTGGGCATGATAGCGGAGATATATGGATTCCTATTATTGTTTAGGTAAGTTCACATATAATAGATATAATAGATGGGTAATATAATATAACTAGCTGACCCGGCAAACGTTGTTTTGCCATATACATTATTTCTACGAAATATTTTTTAGTTTTAAAAATCGCGATTAAAAAACAGAGGTTGATCGTAAGTAGTGTAGTTGTACCACTTCTAGACCACCTGAGTCAGACGTGGTTCAACGACGTTCGTCGACACCCGATCCTAAAAAAAAAAAAAAAAAGGTTTTGGCATGCTCTGATCGAATCCGCGGTCCATTTTTGTGTAGAATGCACGGTTCCGGAGATGTGTAGATCAATTAGCTAATATCTAATTGATATCCGGTAAGGGCCTCCACCGTCATTAGCGTCCCATTGTTCCTATTTCTATTGTTCTATTGTTCATTAATCACCTTCATTGCAGCGTGTGCGTCGACTATATCAGTGCTATTGTATTATACTTCTTTGTTCCTAATTATACAACGCTAATCTGAATCATCAATAAAACACATTACATAATTTTGTTACAATTTTTATTTATAAAATACAAAATCTTATTACTTATTATCTATAAAATAGGAGCGAAACATCTCATCCACTAAAATATCGTTGTACAGTGTGTTCCTTGTAAATATACTCGTAAAACTATGTATTGAACATCCCTGAAACTTATATAGCAAATACATTAAGCAATATTCGCCACAAACTGAAGTCCACTCATTCTGAATCCTATCAACATTCCAGTTCCATCTTTTACAATTCCTTTTTAAAAACTCTAGATGATATCGTACAGGTGATCGTCCATATGAATCAAAATATTGACCGACGTCATTCGTATCGATATATAAAGCTACCCAATGTGACCCTGGTTTATCATCTGTATCCAAATTACATATTATATACGTTGGTACGTGGGTATACATAGGCAGTCTATTAGCTGCATAAACATTATTTTCTAGACTGGGGTGAATCTTTTTCAGATGTTGTTGTACATCTAGTGTATCCATGATATTACTGCTATTAGTAGATTATTACAGTACCAATCTACTCAATGAATAACATAGGAATGGTCAATTATAGTGATTTCTAAATATTAAATTGCATTTTTGTGTTATACAAATCGTACTTGAGTCATTGATCACCAAACAAAACACAATACGAAGAAATGTTAAGATAGGCAACGGAAATGTGAGATAAACTGATATGTTTCTAAATATTAAATTGCATTTTTGTGTTATACAAATCGTACTTGAGTCATTGATCACCAAACAAAACACAATACGAAGAAATGTTGAGATAGACAACGGAAATGTGAGATAAACTGGTTGACGCATAAAGTAATTATCAACTCATTACGGAAATACTTTAGATTAGAATTTTTACGTACTGGTGGTATACAAAGTGACGATGAAGTTATCACGTTAAATGAAAAGACGTATTCTATACAAAGTTCTTTAAACATACACAACTAAAAAAATATATAACAATTAACATTCTGGGCGCGGTAGCCTTTTTTTTGTTTTAATATTAAACAACATCATGTAAATGCATCAGATATCACCTGATAAATACTAGAAGTTCAAAGACCCATGGCCCGTGAAGGCCAAGAGACCTATATTGTATTATAGTGCAACGTTGCCAATTTTAAATAATCAAATAAAGTAATAAATTAAGCAAAAAATGTACTTATATGTAACAAAATAAGGCATAATTCTTATGCGCGATGCGACAAGAATTGGGACGGGGTGTTGGGAGGGTGGGATGTGGTCGATTGGCGCGTGCGACGATAAAGTAAGACAGTAAGTCACTTAGTCCGACGCCGGCGTCCTTGGGAACGGTTCATTAATCGCTTGACCTAATTTTAGTTTTTCGCGTACACGTCCTTTTAATTTAAAGTTTTTTTTTGTGGATATTTTCATAAGTTTCTTGATTTGTTTGTGATAGGACACGTTAATACTATAATAATAATTGTGTTGAGGAGGTGGTGTGACTATTTGTGCGAAATTTGACGCTTTCTTTTACTGTCTTGTATTTTTTATTTGTGATAGGACTCGTTAATAATAGATAAGTGATATTTAATAACTTAGTGGTGTGTCAGCCCGTGCGCAATTGGACGCTTTTATTTTTTTAAACGTATAACTTTTTTTATTTTAAAATGCCTCGTATCAATTTTACGTCATTGGAATACACCGATATGGTTTTAATTTATGGAGAATGCCACCAAAACGCGTCCCTGGCATTACGAACATACCGAGAGAGGTATAATACCACACGTGTATGTCCTACAGACTCACGGATTTTTATACGGGCAGTCCAAAGATTACGTGACGGCGAAAATTTGATTCCACGTCAGGTTGAAATTCCTCCGCGAGTCGCCGTGGCTCAGGAAGAACGAATATTAAATTATTTCGCTCGTAATCCAACATCAAGTCTCCGTAGAGGAGCAGCTCGCCAATTCTGTGTACACCACAAGTCTGTTCACAGAATATTAAAAAAAAACAAGCAACGGCCGTTCAAATACGTAAAGGTACAGGCTTTATTAGATAGAGATAAGCCAGTTAGGGAAGCCTACTGTGAATGGCTCCTGAGCAAAGTAGCTAATGACTCTAACTTTTTAGCAAACGTAATGTGGACTGACGAGAGCACATTCACGCGTAACGGAATATGGAATCGGCAGAACTTACGATACTGGAGTCAAGAAAATCCGCAACTGTGTCGAGAGTCTATGCACCAATATAGATTTGCCGTTAATGTTTGGGCTGGAATACACGGAGATCAAATAATTGGTCCCGTGTTTATCGAAGGCAACCTTAATGGGCCTAAATTTTTGGAACTGCTTGACGACACAGTGGCGGATTACGTTGATGGACTATCGTTGGGGGCCAATAGCCGGTTATGGTTTTTTTTTTTTTTTTTTTTTTTATAGGAGAGGGGGCAAACGAGCATGCGGCTCACCTGATGGTAAGTGACTACCGCCGCCCATGAACAACCGCAACACCAGGGGAATTGCAGATGCGTTGCCGGCCTTTTAAAAAGGAGTAGGCTCTTTTCTTGAAGGTCCCTAAGTCGTATCGGTCCGGAAAAATCGCTGGTGGTAAACTATTCCACAAGGAAGTTGTGCGAGGAAGAAAACATCTTCTAAATCGCACAGTGGTGGACCGCCAATCATCCAGATGGTGTGGATGGTATCGGGAGTTCTGCCGCGATGTGCGTTCGTGAAATTTGGCGGCTGGGATTAATCCGAACAATTCCTCAGAGCACTCCCCATGGTAAATGCGAAAGAAAATGCTAAGAGATGCAACATCTCTTCGCAGTGCCAATGAGTCGAGCCGATCAGAAAGGACTCGGTCGTCGACGATTCGAGCCGCTCTGCGCTGGATGCGGTCAAGTGGAAGAAGCTGGCACTGGGGAGCCCCAGCCCAGAGATGGGAACAGTATTCCATGTGAGGCCGAACCTGCGCCTTGTAAAGTTGCAGGCGTTGAGCCGGCATAAAATACTGTCCCGCTCTGCTGAGCACGCCAAGCTTTTTAGAGGCCAATTTGGCCTTCTCTTCCAAGTGACCACGAAACTGCACGCTACTCGATATGTCGACGCCGAGGATTCCGATACTGGCTGAGGCAACAAGGGGAGTACCTTGAAACTGAGGAGATACGACAAAGGGGTTCTTTTTAGCGGTAAACGCGCAAACTTGTGTCTTCTGAGGATTAAACTGGACTAGATTTAGTCGCCCCCAATCCGAGACTTTGTCCAGCAAAGACTCGACTTCAGACACAAGTTTGTTCCGGTACTCGGTGACGTTTTCCCCAGAGATATTGGCACGGCCGGTGTATAGAGCATCACCAGTGCTGTCATCTGCATAGCAATGAATGCTACCAGCTTGCAACATATCATTGATATGCAGAAGAAACAGCGTTGGTGATAGCACGCAGCCTTGTGGAACACCAGCGTTAATAGGCTTGTAGTCGGAGCATGCACCGTCTACAACGACCTTGATGCTCCGATCTGCAAGAAAGCTGGTGATGGTACCAGCTTGATGGAGCACCTGCTCATTCAGTGGTGGCTGCCAGGCAGCGCCTCACTGAGATGTTCGGAGAGAACTGGATTGGCAGATACGGACCTTCTCGGTGGCCAGCACGGTCTCCGGATCTAACACCGTTAGATTTCTTTTTATGGGGTTACATAAAAAATGAGGTGTACTCTACTGAAGTAACGACTGTCGAGGACTTAAAAATAAGAATAATGCGGGCTTTCGACAAAATAAAAAATTTTGCAGCCAATGGTGCCCTCTTTCGAAAAGTCCGAAATAATATCATGCGACAATGTCAATTATGCATTCGGGTACACGGCGGACATTTTGAAAATTTAAAAATTTGATTTGTTTCATAAACTTGAGTGATTTCAAGGTTAAAGTGATTATTTGGATAAAAAAATACCATGAAATTTGTGATTTGTTGATAACATCGGATTAGCATCGCCCTACGCGTGCCTAATTACCTATGTATGGGCAAGTCCTAGGACCTAGGTATTATAATATAATTACCTATATCGATGTCGCATGAGCAATGAACCGCTGGCCGCGACGTTGCCGCTTCTACAAGTCATTTCAGGTCAGTTAAGTAATATTATCAAGGATGATTTATTTTATGTGATTTTTTACCCTATTTATTTTGTTTGAAAGATGCATTTTTTATTAGTTTTTATTATTGTTTATTTTATTATTTTAACAGACATATATCAACTTGTATTAACTGTTGTGCTATTTAACGTGATAACCTGGGCGCCACCCAGTATAAGACCAACAGACGCAGTCATCGAGTTAGTGTACGGTCGTTTGACTACAGTGGATCTATCAATAGTACATTTGTGTTACTTCAATACACCAAAGGCTATGGATGTAAGTGTTTATTCTATTGACTAAATTACTTTTTTTCTGTTATTTTCATGTGTGTGTATTATTTTATTTAAATATTGTGTATGTATATGATTAAGCCGTGGTAACTCAGATGGTTAGCG